GTCAAAATCGGTGACGCCGTGCAGCGCACACGTGGGTGGCGATTTCTCGGCAAAAATCGCCACGTGTGCGCCGGGCTTTAGACTCTCTTGAATTACTTATTGGCTTCACAGTTGTAGCCTTTCCAGAGAAGCAAGGTCGTCGTGTAACTTGTATTCACTACGCGCATTTTCGCCGAGGGCTCGAAGATTTCTACGCCTTATTGAGTGGTCAAAGTGCTGATGCTGTTGATTGCGCACTTCAGCCCCTGCCCGTGGAATTCTGGATTCGTGGTTCCGCTTCCTCTTTCTCTTCGCTCTACTCTGTCCCTCTCTCTCGTCTCTTCGTCGCTCTCCTCTCCACTCAGGTCTCTCTCTCTCTCCACCCTTCTGTCTCGTGCTCGCCCACCGCCTCTCTCTCTCTCTCTCTCCCCCTCTTCTTCTCTCTCCCTCCCTCCTCTCTCTCTCTCTCTTCTCTCTCTCTCTCTCTTCTCCTCCTCTTCTCTCTCTCTCTCTCTTCTCTCTCTCTCTTCTCTCTCTCTCTTCTCTCTCTCTCTCTCTCTCTCTCGATCTCTCTCTCTCTCTCTCTCGTCTCTCGCTCTCTCTCTGCTCTCTCTTCTCTTCTCTCTTCTCTGTCCTCTCTTCTCTATCCTCTCTCTCTCTTTCTTCTCTGTATCTCTCTCTTTCTCGCTCTCTATCTTCTTCTTCCTTCTTCTCCCTCTCTTCTCTCTCTCTCCTTCTCTCATCGCTAGCTGCGCATCTCAGCGCACACGTGGCGATTTTTGCCGAGAAATCGCCACCCACGTGTGCGCTGCACGGCGTCACCGATTTTGACGCCAGAAACTCGTCGCTGGAATATCAAACACGTTTGATATTTGTTGCCCAGTCGCTGAACAATCGCTACGTGTGCGCTGACCAGGCGATGGATTCAGGCAACAGTTTTTGGATTAACCAATCAAATGCATGATTTGAAGCACGTGATCACAATTATAGCAGCGCCCGTGGTGTGGTTTGAACAGGTCATGTACAGTTCATACAGTGGTATGTCGCTGACAGATGGTTGCATTGTCGCCGGGTGGCGCACACGTGTGCGCCGGGCTTTAACTATCACGTTGGGGGCGGGGGTTGACTCTACAGGGTTGCACTCCATTTGTATTCTGCTACGCTTTTGGTTTGAGAGTTGTTGTAGAGCAAATGCATTAACCACGAATAAATATAAATAGATTACTTTTAATGCATATATATATACCTTCTCATCACTTGAAGTGCATTCTACATATATTATTAAAGTACTAATTTCATAACCAATTAATATATAAACACATATACAAGACAAAGGCCACACACATGTGATTATAATAAATGTAGCACAAAAATGCTATACGACTATGAAAATGGATTAAAACTACACCCCAGATTCCTTTGAGATAAGAGAACATCGCACAAAAGCATGTATGTTATATAGAGATTGGACAGAAGAAGCCATGGAGAAATGTGTACTGAAATCTGATTACAAGCCCGACCACATGCACACACAAAAACGGTGGCGTATTCACATATAATTTTTACATATATATAGACAAACATATATAAATATAAAAATATATTCAATTAACGCAGGAAACCCAACAAGACGAATCGCAATCTATGCGCAAACCGTACAACACTCCGGATATTCCACAACAGCCGGCGGCGGCGCGAGATGGAGCGCACGTAGAGACGTAACGCTGAACACACACGAACTCACCTGCACAGCATGCTGACGATCGCCACCTTATTGAAGAACATGAACGCGTGGAACACACACACAAACTCACCTGCACAGCATGCTGACGATCTCCACATTATTGAAGAATATGAACGCGTGGAACACACACACGAACTCACCTGCAGCATGCTGACGATCTCCACATTATTGAAGAATATGAACGCGTGGAACACACACACGAACTCACCTGCACAGCATGCTGACGATCTCCACCTTATTGAAGAACATGAACGCGTGGAACACACACACGAACTCACCTGCACAGCATGCTGACGATCGCCATCTTATTGAAGAATATGAACGCGTGGAACACACACACGAACTCACCTGCACAGCATGCTGACGATCTCCATCTTATTGAAGAACATGAACGCGTGGAACACACACACGAACTCACCTGCACAGCATGCGGACGATCTCCATCTTATTGAAGAACATGAACGTGCGGAACAAACAGGGCACGAACCCACCTGCACAGCCTCTGACTATCGCCACCTTATTAAAACATAAACCGTGAACACACAATTTTATCACAGAACTCAACCTGGCAGTCATGCTGACGACTCGCAATTATTGAAGAATATAATGAACGCGTGAACACACACACAACCTCACACTGCAGCATGCTGAGATCTCCACATTATGAGAGAATATGAACCGCTGTGAACAACAGCACACAACTCACGCCACAGCATGATGACGATCTGCCATCTATGAAAATATTGAAACGCGTGAAACACATCACGAACCACCTGCACAGCATGCCTGTGACTCCACTATTGAAAGAAATATTGAACGCGTGGAACCACACAGGGTCGTCGTTTGGGTTGTCACGTGCGAGACTCACAGCTGCACAGCATGCTGACGAATCTCCTAACTTATTGAAGAACATGAACAAGCGTGAACCACACACAACTCACACTGCACAGCATTGCCGGAACGATCTCCATCTTAATGAAAACATGAACTGCGGAAAAACAAGAACAACAAGAACAGTCACAACTTCACCTGCACAAGCTGACATATCTCCATCTATTGAAGAACATGAACATGTGGAACACACACACGAACTCACCTGCAGCATGCTGACGATCTCCACCTATGAAGAAGATGAACGAGCTGAGCGTCGACAGCATGTTCTCCTCGAACACGGACGGCGTCGGTAGCACGACGTCCTGTATGTACTGCACGCGATACGTCTGATGGATCTTCTGTCGCAGTTCGTTGTTGCTAATCGGGATCACCTCCTTGAAGTGCGCCTTCTGGCGCAGGAACTCGCGGTGACGCGTCGGCTGCGCGAGCCCGGGGTCGTGCTCGAGGCAGCCGATCACGTCGAAGATGAGATCATCGCGAACATTATCTCAAGATCGAGTTCTTGTCAGCAGGAACATGTTCTTGAAGATCTCGTAGAGATGGTGGCATGCTCTAGGTCGGTGTTCTGACAGGTCCCTCGGCACATGTGAAGCACACGTCGACGGAGCTGGCGCATGTACCCTCGCTCTCGTAGGAGCGCGACCGACAGCTTCTCGCGGCGGATCGGCGACGGCAGCACGGACTGTATGAGCTCGTTGATCTCCTCCAGCTTGCTGAGCTCGCACTGCGGCAGCTCGATCGCCGACACCCGTGTCCGGCATTGTCTCAAAGTGCTCGTCCTCGCTCTCCTCCACCAGGTCCTGCGTGATGTCCCTGTTCGGGTCCTTGCCCTGCACCTGCGCGCGCGCGAGAAAGACAAGGGAGGTTCACGATGAGATGAACGTTACTACAATAATGTTCGTGCCTTTATTGCACGCACGAGAGAACGACGGGATGTTCACGACGAGGTGACGTTACTATAATAAATGATGTTCATGCCTCGCACCTGCGCGCGAGAGAAAGACAGGGGAGGTTCACGATGAGGTGAATGTTATTATGATTGGCATTCGCTACGAGACGGATGTAATTACAATCATGTTCTGGGGCTTCACTTGCACGTGAGAACAAAGGATACTTATCGCGAGACAGTTGTAATAATAATAATAATAATAATATTAACATTAACAATAATCTTACTATAATTTGCCAAATGTTGTATGTATGTATGTATAGTGTATGTGTGTAGTATGTATGTATGTATGTACTTGTATGTATGTAGTAATTAGTATGTAATCTATGTATGATGTATTATGTATTATTATGTAGTAATGTATGTATGTATTGTATGTATGTATTAATGTACAGTACGTAGCGTAATGCTATGCTATTCTAATGAAAGGCTCCGTCAGTTTTTTTATCCAAATAGCGCCAAAATTCAGCAGAAGAGATCGATTGATACAACGGGACGGGTTCTAAACTACTCCATTGAAAACGGTAAAAAAGGCATAAAAAAAACAAACAACAAAAAAGGTAAAGATGCCTAAAATAATGGGCAGCTATATCTTGCCTTTGCCTAATATTCGGCCGTCTGAACGTTGGCTATAAATATTTCGCCGTCTGTCAACGTCTGGCTGGCATGCACAGTATTTTTTGTAAGCGCAATGTAATAGAAATAAGCATTAATAAGATAAATCCAGCTACTATTTTGGCATAGTTTACGATATGATGAATGTACAGATTAATTCCACAGATCTGACTTGAAGAAATGCACTTACACTTCGCCTCGCCATCGAGGTACTTTTGCAATTCCAGGAATTTGTAAGAGTGTTATTCAGATAATTTAAAAGTCGAAGCAACTGTCTTGCTCTACAGCACTATTTCAGATTCTCCGGCACAATTCAAAATGCTTGAATGTCGTGAAGAGCGAGCTGTCACATAGCGCTTCCGATCACAACACTAATATTACGTGTCCCTGGCAGAGTGGAATACGAATAGCCGAACCACTAATATTACGTCGAACGGCAAGCCAAGTGTTATACAGTGGCACGACCTAAGCCAGCCAAATAGTCTATCTATATTCTAACGTGAGTGTCCGTATCAAACCAGTACAACATACAATAAAACATTGTGTGTGTGTGTTTGTGTGTTATTTCACTGTACTTGCCAAACAAATAGTTAAATGGGACAGTAGCCTCTAAGAATTTACGCATACAACTGTAGCTTACACGTATAACAAATCGTCTATACCCCCAGTGATTTGACCAATACAATATTTAATTGCTTATAATTATTTGATCGACATCAAACAGGCTGACGAAAATTTGAAACGCGCCATGACACCGCCGACGTGCTGCCACCGCCGAAAAAAGTTGCTCATTTGACAATAATATTATTGCAGGTTACAAGACCAGACGCGCAATCACAAAATGTGCACATATATTAATACCTAAAATGCTATTAATCGAACGATATCATTTTAGGGCAAATTTAATCCATATAAACGAATGATATTCTATTATAAAGCATATTACAATCCTTTTTGCTTTAATTAATATAATCAAGGAAACACCCTCGTCTTAGCCTCTTGGTCGAAAGTGATTTTTGCGGGCGAATTTATCGAGATCATGCGCTTTGATGGCGCAGACCGGTCGTGTAATCAAACTTAGTCGTTAAGTTTAAAACAATTTTTTATAATATTATAATGGTATAAACTCATAACTTTTTATGTAGCGTAATTATAACCTAAATTAGCTGAAAATAACCCTAGAACCTAGAGTAATCTCTCCCTTTAATGTGTTACGTGTAAGCATGATTACCTCCGCCAAGGGATTGGCAGGAGGTTATGTTTTCATCGGCGTGTGTTTGTTTCTTTGTGTACAGCCTAACTCAAAAAGTTAAGAACGGATTGTCATGAAATTTTCAGGATAGGTCAGAAACGGGCTCACTTAGAATTGATGAGATTTTGGTTCTGATCCGGATCCAATTAATTAATTAATTAAATTTTCAGGATAGGTCAGAAATGGGGTAACTTAGAATTGATTACATTTTGGTGGTGATCCGGATCCAATTAACTAATTAATTAATTAAATTTTCAGGATAGGTCAGAAATGGGGTAACTTAGAATTGATTACATTTTGGTGGTGATTCGGATCCAATTAATTAAATTTTCAGGATAGGTCCGAAATGGGGTAACTTAGAATTGATTACATTTTCGTGGTGATCCGGATCCAATTAATTATTTAATTAATTAATTAATTCATAAAATTTTCCACAGTGAGAGAATTGAGCTGCCTTGGCGGAGGTCTGCGCTCTCCGAGTGCTCTAGTTGTACATGTATTTGTATTGACATCTCAACCATAAAAAAACAACTAAACTCTCCATATAACGCCTTACACATAACACTAATGGTGACACATGCATCACAGTCACTAAGCCCGCGCATAGCGCGGGTTCCAGCTAGTAACAATAATTCTGTGATAATAGCAATAAAAACGCAAAAAATTCTGGATTGAATCCAGGTTGGACCACGGCCAACCCAGAAGCCACCGGCTAATGCCGTGATCCACTTTGGAAATAACAATAATATAAATAATTTAATATAATATAATATAATAAACATATTAGGGGCCTTTGGCGACAGTTGCGTGCGCGAACAACGTGCGTTCCCAATGACACAGACGTAATAACGATAATCCGATGCATGTGAAAGTTGCTGCCTGATCTGCGGAAAACATAAAATATAACACGACTCCAACACGTTTAGCCGAGAACTCGCGCAAAGGGCAAAGGGAAAACGTATTTGACACCATATTTTTCCACACTCAGAAAAAACCGCAACGCAAGTCTAAAAATAAGATCACGCACCGCTAATCAATACAAACACTAGCAGCACGGAAAAATACGGATTACCTGATCATCGTGCACGGTTAGAAATTAACTTTTTTCGCCAGGCAACAAGTACTTGCTGCCAGCGAAAAGGTCGAGGCAGAAACTCTGGTGCATTTTCTATGATTTATTAGGAATTTCTCGGCAGCACGCATTTGCTGCTGACGTTTCACTGCAGGCAGCAAACTCACCCTTACATGCAGCAAGACTGCTGCCTGTTGCCCTTGATTTGGCATCAAGCCATGCAAAGTTGGTAAATTCGTATCAATGATTTTGATAAAGAGTAACAGCATGTAATAGTGACTACCCTATACTACACATGCAACACTGTGATAGGCTTCATCTGTACTATAAACCAGGGTGCGAAATTAACGCAAATCCGGAGTCAAATACTTCCTGATTTGACATATGCAAGAATCCGTGTGACTCCCTAAAAATTCTGCTATACTAACTAGTTCATTCCAGAGCACGGCCTCGCGGAAGGTTTCAGTAAATGCCCAAAGAAAATTTGGCAGACGTGCAACCCCACGAATCTTCAAAATAATAACATGCGTTATTGTTAATATCTCTAGTTTTGAACTTCAGACTGCAGACTCCCTCATTTTGCTGCGGACTCACTCTTTATGAGGGCAGGGAGTCCGTTGGACTGCCTTGTTCACAAGTTAATTTCTGCGGTACCCCGGCTAACAATAGCGGTAATGAAGCAATCACACAAAAAAGCCATTACGATCAACTTAATTGCACTAACGATATTACTTATTAGGTAGCAGCTCATGCTGTGTGTCAATACATGGAAATACTAACAAGACACAGATACAGTAAGCAATAGAGAATAGAACAGAATTTATGAAACACGGCTGCCCTGTTAAACTACTAAAAAGAACATAATAAAGATAAGTTAAATACGATTGGTTAGTAGTCAGTGCTAGTCTTGCACACATTTCGGCCATTGCTAAATGACTCACGACACGAAGTGGACATGCTAGTATAGGTTTACTACACCTTTGTACCACACTGTTGGTAGAGAAAGAGAGTAACTACGTGTGGATACAAAACTCAATGGCAGTTGATTGTTACATGAAACCCATGCTTGACTTTTAAACAAGACAAGTTCAGAATACGTGAGTGAATATTTAGAAAATAATGTGTGCCATTTAAGCAACTACTAATGCTATTAAAGATACGCAACTTAAACACACCCTATACTCTTATAACTAAATCTAATAGTTGCAACTAACGTTGGCAAGTTGCAACTAATCGAATTATAATTCGCAATCAAAATTAATCTTTGAACAGGTAGTTTACTACAACAACAGCACTATATATTTCTGTAATGTGTCACACATTAAGATTGAGTAGTCTTCTGTGAGCTCGGCAATCCATTTATCTGTCTGTGTGCGCTCGTGTTAGGTACACAGCGGCTGTATGGAGTTTCAATACACAGTGTTGAAACCTTTATCTGGAGTTTCCACGCTGTTTACTACTTGAGTTTTGTTAGATTCATATCCCTCCTCACACAAATCGAATACAAATGAAAATAAAAATGAACTTTTTACCCATTTTTCATAGAAAATGTATGTATTTGGGCCATTCGTCTAAGCCATTGATCAATTTTGTGGGGACACTCTAAATGAAGTTTATTGATTATTTTGGCACACTTGAAGTACAGCCTACGCCATATTTAACTAATTACACACACATACAGGAACGCACAGACACACGCGTGTACATGCACGCGCGCACACACATGCATGTACGCACGCACACGCACACGCACGCATCTACGTGCGCACGCACGTCAACAAAAAACCTTGTTTAAAAGTGCCTCCAAAACAGTGTGAAAACGCATATATAAATAACTATAACGTGAGTTCGCATCTAAACTTGCTGTGAAAATTAAAAAAATGTAAACACCATCGACTATCAAGTCCATTTTTGTTCAAACGCAGATCCATCCCTCAAACAATGCCTC